ATTCCTTTTCAATTTTCTATCACTACGGAGTACAAACATCTTATTCATGTTTGTTCAACATTAAACTGATAGTTTCCTTGGGGATTTTACTCTTTTCAAGGTTAAGATTTTAAGAATAAACAGTTGAATTACTTATATCTCGTCTAGGCCAAGACAACATATAATATCAGATCGAGTCGGAAAGCAAAAGAGCTGTCTTTCAAGTTGCCAACGCAAGAGGCAGACGAGATATTTAGAAGCCAAGATCTGTCTTAACTCATGCTGTCCTGAAATCCATCAGAAGATGGGAAGAAATAGGACATTCAGTGGCTTTTATTTTAGATTTTGTTGGGATTTAACATGGAAAAAGTGGCCATCCAATGCAATTATCCTGTTAAATAACTCTATAATCAAATAAGTAGAGCTTGAGCAAATAAAACCGGGGAGCTTCAACCTTTTGTGATCTTTCTCGAGCAAGTGTCAAGTTTTTCTAGTGTATGGTGATGAGAACTCCTTTTAAGAGCTTCTCCNAGTGTCAAGTTTTTCTAGTGTATGGTGATGAGAACTCCTTTTAAGAGCTTCTCCAAAGCTCTAATGAAATGGATTAGATTTAAGACTTCAGGATTTTTACATCATATCAACAATTCGCTGGCCCATTGTGGAAATACTAATTGAGACACATATGGTATAGAATTCGGAATTAGCTACTTGTAACGAAGCGGGTTGACAGAATTTTTGCATATAACTCACATGAGTGGGTCCCGCATGTAATAAAAAATTGGCCAAAAAATTCCACCCCCCTACCCTATTGTGAGGTCCCGGTGGGGGTTCGGTCAACTCCCACCCCGGTACACCAAGCTCGGTTCATAGAATTCAATAGTTGAACCTAGTTCGGGCTAGCGGTGGTAAGGGGCTGAGCCAAATTGGCCATGCCCACTAGTCAAGCAGGGCTTGACCCATTGATAAAAAAGCCAAGCTTGGGCTAGCTCGTTGACCAAGGGGCTAGCCTTGCTCATCCATCAATGAAGGGTCAAATCAAACCACGACTCAATTTAATAATAGCTACCAAATATTCAGGTGATCCATTTCTCGAATTAATATATCCATTTTTTTCTAGAAAAATAGAATTGATAGCCCTACAATCCGGCTCACAAAACCTAAGAGCACACGTGTCAAACTTAGTTCATCTAAAGCTCGATTTAATGCAGGCCTAAGACACCCATGAGCCGAACTCTCACAAGCCACCAACCAGCCCAAACTCTTTGTCAAATATTTGGGACCAAGGATATACTTAAAACTAAAAAGTTCGGTGATATTCACACCACGCTTTTCATAAATACACTATATTTTAATTACATTAAGGTCACTCATCAAATAATCTTGTTCTTAATCATAATTTCCGTCCAAAAATATTGCTAACATGTTTTAAAATGATGATCAAATATTTAATCGTATTTTTACATTATTAATTGTTTTGCTTATTCAAAAATACAATGAATAGATAAATAAATTTTTACTATATCTTAAAGAAAATTTTAGAGAGAAATCATAATCAGGAATAAATGTTATGAAGCTTTCGTGCAATTGAAAGGTGGTTTAATTATTAAAAACTGTGGTGTGAATTAATTTAGCCAACTAAATATTGTATATTTGAATAACATTTTTCATTCTAAATTGTAGGAGTAGGATACCCATCTTACCCTATTTGAGCCATATTCTCATTCTTCAACTCATTTTCAACCACACATTATTCAATAAAATAATATTTACATTACATCAATAACTTTTTTTTTCTTTTTCAACTACATATTCTTTATCACATCACAAAAAAAATGCATTCTCTCCTGAAAAATGTGCATCGAAACTGAGAAATTAAAATGAGTACGAATTAGATATTTGTCCTAATTGTCAAATCGTACACCAAGGTTGAAGTTGCTTTCCTGTTTCAGTTGTTGGACGAATTTCTAAATAATGCTAGTTTGTTCGATGAGGATTGCTTGCACAAATTTTGTTCCTCGGTTGAAAGAGCACGTGAGAAGAAATTTATTGAATAATTAGACAAATCAATAAGAACACATTAATTACTTTATATCCAAAGTTGACAAGCAAGGAGATAGATATGGATACTTAGAAATTTAAACGAAAAAGAACCCTCCTCTTACGAGAAAAAAAAAATTTGAAAATACTGCTTGTGATTCAATTTTAAACTACATGTATATATGTCGCATAACCAACGCCCTATAATCTCCTCGACTTGCATTTTCACTCACGTCGTCATTGTAAAAATAAATTTAGGAACAATTAAAAAGGTTTTCTCAAATAAATAGATTATTCATGTAAGCAATATGTTGCTGTATAGGAACAAAAAGGTCAAATCTCGTTGCCTAACATATTAAAATCTTAGATAATGTGTTCAATTGTTGCTTCGTTTTCACGTGACTTTTGTATTCAAAATGCTATAATCAAATTTCAACAAATATAATAAATCACAATAAATGGTAACATTGGACCGTTTGACGAGCAATGATGCTGACATCTTGGTTTTATTTCAGCTGCGGAGAAATACTTGGTAATTGCATGGATGCCAGCAACCAAATTACGTATGCAATTTGAAAATTAAGTGGATTTCAAAGTTCAAACGAAACATCTTAGTTTAGCATTTAAAGCTGGTGCGCTTTTCCTGTGCTGTCTGTATTGTTAAGAACTCCCTGCCCACCGGCCAAAACCACTCATCCACGTATACAAATTCAACTATTTAAGTGAGAGAAGACTAATTATACTATCCATTTTTTCCTTGGATTGCGACTTGACTTTTATGGCAAGGTCGACTAGCGCCCCTCAAAATGATTTTTCAAAGTATTACTTTGATAAATTTGTAAATGTATTAAATCGCCTTAATATTTCTTCCAGTATAAAGGCATAAACTTACTTGCAGAAAAAGACATACAGAGAGAAAGCAAAAAGTAATGAGTCAAAATAAAAAAAAGACAGTGCGATCTCTCTTTTACTTAGATATATGGTAAAATTGCGCAATAAAGTTGATTAGAGATTATGAATGACAACATGATGGGTTTGGAACGAAAACGATCTCGATCCCTATTTAAAACCCATTTATTTATTTTTATTATGAATATAATCCTAAGTTTTAAATGGGATAGGGCAAGGGAGGATAAGGACCATGATCCCATCCCCGATTCGAGGTTGATTTCTCGTCCCCGTCCCCTATTAACTGGAGGATTATCCGTCCGGTTGCCATCTTTAGTAAGCCCCTGTTTGACCCCCATTAAATTAAATTACATTACATTAAATTTTTCTCTCTTTTCATTACAACCACACATTCATCAAATAAGAGTAATGTTATTCATCTCCAGTAGGGATTGAAACACAGTTTACATGAATTTAATGCTGTATTTGAATGAACGTCTTTTTCTGGTACAGAGAGAACAAAAAGGAACGAGTTAAAATAAAAAAAAAAAACAGTGCAATCTCTCTTTTACTTAGATATATAGTAAAATCGTTCAATGAAGTTGAGTAGAGATTATGAATGACAACATGATGGGTTTGGAACGGAAACGATCTCAATCCCTATTTAAAACCCATTTATTTATTTTTATTATGAATATAATCCTAAGTTTTAAATGGGACAGGGCAAGGGAGGGTAAGGACCATGATCCCATCCCCGATTCGAGGTTGATTTCTTGTCCCCGTCCCCTATTAACTGGAGGATTATCCGTCCGGTTGCCATCTTTAGTAAATATAGCTTTCGAATTGAGAATAAATCATTCATGCGTTCTCACTTGCGTAACCAATATTCAACGCAATTTATTGACCCAAATTTGAACTTTCTCGGCTTATACCATTCCTCCTCCAAATTCAATTGAATACTCATTCTCCCTCTCTCTCCATCCCTATTCAACTCTTCGATCTATATATACTACTCCCCACCTCTCTCCATAATTCAATTAAGCTTCAAATACAATCCCAACTATCTTTCCTCAAGCCCTCCTCTTATATATAATGGTCTTTGATGTTCCACACTAACCATCACCTTACACGAGCCTCGTCCTCTCCTCTTGTATAGGTTGGCAAAAGTTTCTTGATCACGTGAAACGTATATATTTTTGTTTGATCCCACGCTATATCAGTGAATCATACATATATAAGTTGAATCTAATCGTTCTTTAGGATCTTTGCAGGGTGTTCTTAATTGGTCTGCTAATTTAGACAGGTGCAGGAAAGGAATTCTTACCAAGGACAACCATGAGCAGTGGAAATGGAACAAAATCTGATCTCAAGTTGAGTTTATCTCCCCCAAGGCCAAACATTAGAATCGACTCCCCGCCAGGATCAAGAACAGTGTCACCGAGCTCATGCGTGTCATCAGAAAAGTACTGTACGAGCCCCGAGGCTACATCCATGGTTCTGGTGGGTTGCCGTCAATGCCTCATGTACATTATGCTATCAGAAGAGGACCCAAGATGCCCCAAATGCAAGACCACTGTTTTGCTTCATGTCATCCATGACAAAAACACTGCCACCAAGAATACAAGCTACTCTTCAAAATCTTCCCTAGAGTTTCCCAAATGAAATTATGTAGCCTGCATAGTGTTTGCATAGTGTTGCTTTTTTCTTCCCCCGCCTCCCCTTTTTTATCTGAAAAACGCGTGTAAGAGATAAAAACAAGCTATTTACAATTTACACATGTACTTTCAAAGCAGTCATACAAATAGGTTTTGTTGTTCGGACCCCAACTCAAGTGGATACGAAAGCTCCTAACATGAAATCTGAAAAACTGGGAAATCAGAGTCGATTTAAACCAGATTTTACACAGCATTTGGCACTAGACCTATATAAAACTGGCCACAGCACAAATTTACTCCTCAGTATACTGCCAAACTCCAAAAGGAAATACATGAAAAGTGTCATTCAACAAATCAAAGTGAAAAATACTCATCTTCTCTCGACACTGAATAATAGGAAATTAGATTCAGTGTAACCAAGATTTTATGCTAAACAGTATTTGGCAATAGACATAAAACTCATCGCAACACAAATCTACTCAGTATTAACACGCATTTTTAAACACTGATTATAATCTACTCAACATACTAATAAATGCAAAATTCGAAGATAAAGTTGGCTGCCCGACAAGGTTAAAAATGCTAGATTTCACCTTATTCCAACTTTTGACCCATGAACCCAAGTTTTTCCTTTCAAGTTCAATCAAGTCCCAATAAAATTTATAACATTTTAATTAATGCAATTTAATCCCTAATAATTTATTTTAACTATAATTCCTCTCAAATTTTGAATTAAAATAAAAATCATAAATATCAAGATTTCAAGGCATAATGCACGCTATCCTCAAAACACGGTTTCTACTCGAGTATTCAACTTAAAATTAAATAAATAAACAATTTTCGGGGTGTTACAATATGACAACCAATTTTTTACATGTTCATCGTTTTTGGTCTAGTAGCTCGGGATGTAGTTGGTATGCTCCTATATAGAAGAATAAAAAAGGGTCCATTTTCCTTGTGAATTGAGATCTATCACTTCAAATTCAAGTAGGTTAGCAGGTAGAAGAATAATAGACAGTACATTGAATTTCAACTGAATTGTGAACGGAATGTTGTCCACATTGACCCTAGCTTATAATCTACAAACAATTTCTAAATAAATTGTGACTTTTGTAAATTCAATTGACGTTGTCTTGTTGCCACCACATTTTCATTCATCGCAGATGTTTAGCAACTCTTTGCCATGTTATCGCATAATTGTTGATGTAGACAATTATGAATGTTGTTGATCGATAGTTATGAACAACACTTCATAACACTCATAACTTAACAGTTGAAGTAGATAGTTTTAAAGTGTCGATCAATCAACATTGATAACTATTGACACGAGTTACGAAAGCATGACCAGACAATTCCAACATTATAAACAATACTAGAGCTTCAAATCAATCAATTGTTAAGCAACATTTTAGAGAACACTGAAACATCAACCTTATTACTTTCATGCAAATGTAAATTATGTGATCAATTTTGTAAATAAAAACTAGATCTATAATGGCAATAATGTTTGTGTATAAATATGATAAAACTATTTATTCTTTATTTTACAAAAGCTTAACAATGGAAATCATGAACAGCTAAAAACAAATTGATAAAAAGTAACGAAGCAAATTCGGTAGCAAGACTTCATTTGCAATGTCGATTTGTATTTAACAAACTAAAACAAAAAAATAATGTTAAAGGCCTTTAAATCGCGTGTTCTTTGATTAGAGTTCAAGATAGATGACGATAATGAAAGACAATTTGTTATTTTGAGCTACTTAGATTTTATCATGTAGTTAATTGCATGAACCGTTACCATAGCTTGACTGGGAAGTTATTATCCCAGTGCGCGTTTGGAATAACTTAAAAATTTGTATTCACAAATTTAATCAACTTTTCAATCCCATATTTCATCATTTTTTATCAAAATTTGTTATAACTTTTATATGAAAAAAACTTTGCCAAACAACTCCTTAATTTCGAAACAATACAATACAATGAAATTTTGATACACAAAGGAAGTGCACATTTTCATTTCCAACTTTTTATTCACAAATTGACATTTTAGCCGCTATTTGATGGGTTATACCACTTGTACTTGTACGTCAAGAGGGTGAGACCCACTGAAATAATATTTTTTTATTCGAGTGGACTTCACCCTATGTGAGGGGGGTGTAACTTTCGATATAAAGCTTGATGTACCACTAGCATAGTCCTTGTTTGATTTAGATAAAAATTAGATTTTTAATAAACTTTGATAAAAATTGATGGAATGTGTGGATTACTAAATTCTATCAAATATGTTATTAAAATTAATTATTAATTTTGTCTTCAATTTTAATTAATTCTTCTAAACAAACCAAAGAGGTGCTTAACTCCAAATTCACCTAATATAACTAAACAAATAATTATCATTAAAAAATTTCAATATTTACACCCTTTGGCTTTGGCTTTGGCTTTGGCTTTTCTTAGGTTATACTTCTTGAGGAGGAGCCTCACAATTGTTTGTACTTTATTCCTCTTCGCTTTTGCAGTCATCAAACTTTTTTTCTGCTTGATATCCAATTCACATTTCTGCACCATGACCCTTGGTTCAGGAGGATCCAGTGTCGTGGGTCTGTATACCTCTCTCTCGCTTTAAAGAAATTGTATTTTTACTGTTAAATCTGCCTATTGGTCGTTTTACTTTGTGGGTTTTAGTGCTTATTTTGTTTGAGGGAATGATGATTATTATGAGTTGAGTGTGGATCGTTATTGAGAGGAAATTTTATAATCATGTCGAATTTTAATCTGGGTTCTTGCTGAAGAATCTGTACCAATTTTATGTGTGAATTTTGGGGATCTCGATTGAAAGAAAATTTCCTTGTTAACTGAGGCTCTTTAAGTTTTTGATGTGTTTATGTAGTATTACTATTAATTACTCAGTGTTTGAACTTTTTGTAACTATCAAGTTTTGATTTAAGCTAAATAATTTCATAATTGACTTGGTTGGAAAAATGGTGGAGAGATTTTGTGTGCTGCTTTGACTCCAATATTCCTCTTGATTACATTTTTGGGTGTGTAATTTTTGATTCATTTCCAAAACGTCCGAGGAGATTTAGTTTTATGAATTTTGTTTTAAGGAGGTGGTCTTGTCGGTAGAGCACTACTAGACAAAAATAACATGTTTTGTAATAAGCAATGTAGTTGCTGAATATTTTTTGATAATCAGCCTTGCATTTGCTTCCTGGTTGTTCTAATGCTTGGCATATGGAGAGTGGCTACAAATTTAGTTTGACCGAATATTGTTTGATATCAGTGACATATCACTTAGCTCATTTCTTAGTTCCATGAATTTTCCACAGTTTTCTTTTCCAAGGTTGTTTGATGCATTAATTGTTTGCAGTTAATATTGACACACCAGAGACTTTTGTATACTTTTCCTTTTCTCTTTTCGTTGGGCGAATGCATGTTTGATATATTCTATATATCTAAATTTGGTTTTGGATCTTTATATAATTGAGTGTGCTTGAGAAATAATATTTGATGTTGATTTATAAAGCTCTTTTAACAAACCAAGCCTTGTTTAAATGTTTATACCTAATCTTAACCAAGGATCTGCCTTTAGCTATTGATCTTCTAAATGATGAATCATATGTGAGTGTAAGTGTACAGAAGACATTTTTCATATTCGATGATGATATCAGTTGGGAATTAAACTATTTTATTTTCCACATAAAACGAGTTTCCTCCTTTCCTCTTGTGAGATATCTCAATTTTCACCTCATGTCACGCACAGCAAGAGGGAGGGGGGAGATGGTGAGGTGAGAAAAGTAAATGTAATAGCAACTCTTTTCTTAAACCTTAGCCAATTAAAACTATAGTATTCAACATGAGAAGGTGTGTACTTTACGGGATTTTTGTCTATGTTCCAATTTATAAGTGTACAGAGGACGCATTGATATTTTGATCTGATTTATATCTTCTCTCTCCCTGTACTTTATATCAATGCTTCTCTCTGCTCTATATATTGGACCAAAAATGCAATATGGACTGTTGCATATGTATAGGTAGACTTTGGAGAATGTGCCAAGTACTATAATTGTTTAATATTTTCCAGATAATCTATTTTTTATTATCATGCATCTATTGAGCTTCATTACCTTGTTCCTGAAAATCTATCATACTATAATCCGAGTCCTTTGACTAACAGATGAACTATAGAGTTACCTTTCTCTGGTTTCCATTTTTTTAAATCTTTTCTAGGAGATTAGAACTCGATACCTATAAAAGATAAAAACGTTAAGCATTCTCAAGTGTTTCGTCATCCTTGCAGTCCCTCGGAATTTCCGATTGCTGGAGGAACTTGAACGTGGAGAAAAGGGGATTGGAGATGGTACAGTAAGTTATGGAATGGACGATGGAGATGACCTCTACATGCGATCATGGACTGGCACCATAATAGGTCCTCATAATGTGAGCATCTTCTCTACTCGGTTTTGCTTATTTGAATTTAGTGTTAACTCCTTTACAGCATCAATAGTATGGGTGAACCTGTGGTGTCACTCTATATTATTTGGAGGTTCTTATTAGACTGATTTTATTTGAACTACCGTCCCACTCTAGTTATTTCATCCGAGGCTTTTGCCTGGTAATGAAAGATGAAATTCATGGTAATTATATTATTACTACATAAATTTATTATTCCACTCTTCAGTTCCTGTAGTCTTATCCACGTCACATTTTTCTTTTTCAATATGTGGGGACATGTTGCTCAAATAATTTTTCTTTCGGTGAATAACAAATAGAGCTTTGCACATGGCAAAGTTTCTTACTTGAATAAGTTTTTATTGTGACCAGTTCTATCTATCTGGCAGTGCAAAAGGGCATTGCTAGAAACAATAGTTAGCAGGCTGCTGGGAAAATATTATCACAACTGTTCATGTAACTACAGATTCTACTGAATTTTATTTGTTTTATCTGACAATGGCACTAATTTAAGCCAAGATGAATCATCTGTCAGACAGATGCATGCCTTTTTGTACTGTTAAACTAATGCTGCTGTAGGAGTCTTGTACATCTCTGATTTCTGGATGGCGCTATTGTTTAAAATTTTGGCATAATATTATCCCTATTGAAGTTTAAATATTTATATTACCCTTCTCCTTTGTTTTTCAGAGAGTGTAGTATATGATTTTGTTGATTCATCTTTAACGATATTTCTTCCTTGATGAGATGGCTTAAGTGCATTATAAATTTATGATTATTCATTGCAGTCCGTACATGAAGGTCGGATATATCAGTTGAAGTTATTCTGTGACAAAGATTATCCAGATAAGCCACCAAGTGTTCGTTTCCATTCCCGGATTAACATGACTTGCGTCAACCATGAAACTGGAGTGGTATGAAACAATTATCTTGTTTAAGTTTGGCTTATAAATATCTTGTTCATAAGTTGCTATCACTGCATTCTTATACGGGCAAAATAGATCAGCGTTGCACATGCTTGCAAAGTTAAATATCTCATTGCAAACTCACTACAATATGACTTAATTTTGATGTGGAGTGTGGCAGGTTCTCTTTCTGGTTATTTTCCTTCTCCTTTTGTCAAAAGTTTGTGGCCTGCGGGTGCAGGGCTTCTTTGACTCAAAAAAAGAGCTTTAAGTCATATTAAAATCTCTTTTTCTTTTTTTTAAAATTGACTCTATTGTTCAGAAAATATGTTAAAGCTTGAGTGGTTATGAGGAATTCTAGATTTTTCTGGAATCTTTTGATCTTTGTGGTACTTACCAAGTCAAATTTTGGAATTCGATGTTTATGAACGAATATGATGATATTAACGAAGTCTTGATGATAGGAATTCTATTCAATATTCAAAACATAACTTGTATTGATCTCTATACAATTCACATTCAAACCGCTAACATTTCTTATTAATTATGAATTAATATCTAACAATTAAAATAATTTTAAAATAATTGTGGTATGCGAATGAACTTTGTAACATAATATAGTATCCATCTTTCCCCAGGATGGAATTTTTTAATACTCCTAGGGGTAAGTTTTCTCTCGCACCAAACTTGACCTACCAACAAATTGTTCTGATGGGGATGGCATCTCTTATGATGATATTACCTTGTTCAAGTTAAATGTAACCATAAAACCTCTAATTATGTTGTGTGCCTATTATGGCAAGTTTCCACCACGTGACTTACAAATCTAGTGTATTTTAATGCCCTTGTTATGAGGAAGCTTGTAGAAAATGAAATGATTTTCCTGATTTTTAATGTGTAGGTGGAATCAAAGAAGTTTCCACTTCTAGCAAATTGGCAACGAGAGTACACAATGGAAAACATACTGACACAGCTAAAGAAAGAGATGGCGGCTCCGCACAACCGAAAGCTGGTTCAGCCTCCGGAAGGGACCTATTTCTAGTATAAAGATATGTATAGGTCTTCTTGACTTAAAAATTTGTGCTGAGAAGTGAAAACTTGAAAGCCCCAGAAAAGCTTCTATTCACCCAGTTGCCTCTTGGATATCTTTTTCTGCTCTACTCCCCTTTGAACAATGTTGTTGGGTTCTGTTTTATAACGGGTTATCTTTTGTGTGCAAGACTGTAAAGGATGAATATACATCTTAAGTTGTTGCAGTTTCTGAATCTTGTCTACAAGATTTATGGGTTTCTTTATTGTTCCTTCACCATGAAAGTGAGTTCAGGAATATTTACTTGGCTTTGAATGGATGGGTAGAATTACTTGAATCGGAGCACTATGTAGTTGATAAGATGTATTTTGTCAAAAATTGAGAGTTTTAACGTTAATCTTCTTTACTTGAGAGAGATCATCATTCTCTCATATCTGTGTCTAAATTTCTTAAGTGAAAGAAAAGCAAGCTGCCAAGGTGGCAGTGTGAAATTGGGAGAGGCTTTCTATTGAGACACACACCAAATGAATAATCAGTGACATAATTGTTCAATGAAATATGAGAACTATGATACAAAATTAAACATTATAGTAATTATTCTTGACTATAGTACAACATAAAAAAGAGTACCTACACTTCTTGAAATTGGTACCAATGTTTCAATTGAAACAAACCATGGTTTTGGGATAATTCAAATGAATATTGAAATTTTATTGTGGAACTTTTTGTTCTACTGTAGATCATTTTTGGGTGGCTCATTGTTTACTTGGAAGAATGAGAAAGAAAAAGTAAGAATAACATTTTTATTTATTTTTTAAAAATCTGAAAATAATGTTCATTGCATGTTGACTATGATTAATAACAGAAATGTGACATGATCCAAGCTTGGAGGATTGTGAATAAGGACAATTGGGAGATGAGTAAGCCACATGTAGCATCTGAATTTGATACACACAATGGCATGAATTTTCTTTATGATGATTATAGAATGGTGGAATTAAAAATGATATTGAAAAATTGCATGCTTGAGTTGGGAAAAACATTTTATGAAAATTGAAATGTTATCTTCATGAGGGAGAAAAAACAGAAAGTGCACATGTGCATAGTTGAATAATAAACTATGTGATGAGCAAGTTAAATAAGAAGCACATGGAACAAATATAAAATTATTAATGATGTATATCATCCACGTACGTGTTAAAAGAATACGTTTATATCGTTGTCTAGCATAACTAGGAGTCCACATGAGAAAATATGCTTGTCAATTAGGAAGGGTGTTAGATGTCGTGACTGTATCGCCTTGATGATCAAATTGAAATGAAATTGAAACTTCAGCAATGAATTTAGAAGAAAAATAAATTGTATGACTTGAGGGAAACTTCGTAAAAAGTTGGGTGACTACCAGTGTTCTTTTACCCGAATTCGAGTTAAATGGCGGCCCGTGACTTGCATGACAGATCCTTGTTTGATATTCTACTTTTTATGCTTTTATATGCTTGAGAAATAATTTTTAAAATGATTCACGCCCTTCCAACAAAAAGCACCCTTACCCGACCAAATAACTGCCAAACGGTAAACCCGTTTGAAGAATCCAAGAAATACCCTCATTCGTCTCTCTTCCCTGTTTTAAACTTCAGAGACTTCTATTTATTGTGTCTCACTAATCTAAACGCTGTCATATATCAACTGTACATACATCAAGTTTCTGGGATTTTGTTTCTTTTTCCCAAACACCAAGAACTAAGGTAACTATTATAAATTCCTATGCAACATTATAAATCCATCAAGTGCTTTTATTTTTTTATTACCATTTGATCATTTCAGTACAATTTCTTCTAGACTTTAGTAATCAATGTGTGTGTTTATATATCATTTTTATGCTGTATAGATATGTATGGTTTAACAATTATTGATACACGATGATTTTATGGACTGTAGAAATTTTGGCGGGCGCAAAAATTGTTAAAGATGATAGGAGGATTCATCTCGAGAGGTTTAATGTATGTCATCAGTTAATCCTTTGCCATTTTCAAAATTGATTCCATGTCTGGCCCTGTGTTTTTACTTTATGGAAGTTCGACATTTCGAATTTTATTGTTGGATTTACAGTCTGGTTCTTGCGTATGCCTATCCTGCATTTGAGTGTTTCAAAGCAGTGGAGAATAATGGAGTTGAGGTTCCAGAACTCAAGTTTTGGTGTCAATACTGGTAAGAATTTCCTCTACCTTTCATGTGCATTAATGTTTCATTCTTTACGAATACTGATAGTGCTTTACATCGCTAGTAACTCAAAGCAACAATCAAAATGAAATGCCGAAAAAATTTCTGGTAGTCCATCTCAAATTCGTTGAGAACAATGCTTAGTTTCTTGTTGTAGTTCATAACGTTAAAAAATTGATATTTTGTAGGGTTATTGTTGCACTGCTCACAGTACTTGAGAGAATTGGTGATATCTTCATCTCTTGGTACGTATTTTTTTTTTTTTGGACTTCTTCATTTGTGTGCTGGACTTATTTGGTAAGATAGGCTGAATAGCGACAATTTTGAAGAGGAAAAATGAACTAAAATTTTATACAATCATACTACATATACATAATCATTCACACAATTTTTTACACCCCGCTCACATGGAGGAGGGTCCCATACACAATAAAATATTCGCGCACACTATTCATGTGAGACAGGTGTACGTACACTTGATGTACAAACAGCTTTATCCAATTTTATATATGGTTCCTGTCCATTATCGCATGTAGGTTGCCAATGTACGGTGAAATGAAGTTAGCTCTTTTCATTTACTTGTGGTATCCGAAAATGAAGGTGAAACCTTTTCCTTTTTACTTCTTCAAATTAATACTAGATAGAATTTTGCTCATATTCTTCTCGAATATTTCCTTGTATAACATAGGGGGCGGGATATGTATACGAGACCTATTTGCGGCCTTATGTGTCTAAGCATGAGATGGATATTGATTGGGGCTTACTTGAACTTAGGGAAAGAGCATGGAACTTGGCTATTTTTCATTTGCAAATTGGCTCACAACTAGTTTCAGCAAAGATTCCCCAATTTATACAATTTGCAACATCCCAATCTGCAAGGATTAAACAGCCTATCTCTCAGGTATCACTTTTATATATCCATTCTTTGTCAATTGAAAATCTCATTATGTTAAATTCTCTTGAATGTTAAGTAATTGTAGTCATGACTCGGCTTTGTACTATCGAGATGCCTAATTAGAGGTGTCAATCTGGCCGGATAAGTTATTCCTTCTTCTAGCAGGCAAGCCAAGCTCGAGATGGATGTTGCCAATCCAAATAGGCATTGGTTTAACCAATAGCCTTGGTTTTGCTTAAAATTCGTCAATTGGACAACAAGAAAGAGTTATGTATCTCCTCACGTTAGTTTTATCGAGCCAAATCCTAACAACACGTGAAACTATTTTTTGCAGAATGGCGAAAATCAACATTCCTATGAAACTCCTCATTCTCCTCCTCGGCCATCCTCACCTAGTACGCCTTCCCAACTAGTCAAGAGGAACAAGACCGAAAGAGAACAGCCGCCAATTACACTATTTGGAACACCAACCTCGCAGCATGCCCAAGCACCCAAATCTGGTTCAACCACGAATGGCTTAGAAGAGAAATTGGGAGTGGAACACCATTTACGTAGTGCATGGCTTAAACTTAGGAGATTCAATATAAGCAACTAGCAAAAGTGTATTGTTAGAAAAGATGAATCGTATTTCGAATTCAAATTCGTTCATTTTATATGTTCTTCTTCTGTGTTTTTCATTCTTTGTCCAATTATCAAATGTTCCTATCCTACATGGGGGAAAAAAGAAAAAAATATTTATTCTTTTCCTTACTAGTACGTAACCAGCGCCAATTCGAATACATAGAAAGCGAGCAAATCCATATTTGGCTGCCAAAGCCATTGTGGAAAAAGCCATGTTTACATATTTTTTTTTCACAGAATCTATACAAATGTTGTGTTGACAGTTTTTTTCTGTTTTGCTAACTGCCAATGGAAAAATGACAATTGTGTATTTGTAAAAAATCTGTGAAGGAAATTCTGTACATCTAGCACAACTGTTGAAATAAACCGTGACATATTGTCCCACCGCAAGAATTTGAAAAGTTAATAATTTTCTTAAATTTGAAATTGAATATTGGTGACCCCCAATTAACCAAAAGCACGATGTGCTCATTAAAAAATATGGTGTGAATATATTGATAAATTGAAACCTTCGCCCCACCCCTTCTCCCTCTCCAAATCATCAAGAACCATCCTGATTTTTTATTTTTTTTTGACTCATTCCTTAGGTCAAATCTAAGAAAAAATATTATTATTATAATTATAATATGCATGAAATAATTAAAAAGATAAATGCATCCTTACCAGAAGGAATAACTACCAAACGGTAAACTCGTGAGGAGAATCCCAAGATATCCACTTCAGTTAACTTACGTGTAAAATGATGAGAAGGCGTCGGTCTTTAGAATGCAGAACTGCATAAATCTTTAAAAATATATATTTTTTATATATAGTTAAATGCTCTCGCGTTCATAATATCCTAACTTCTCCCTTCTTCCTTTAATATCAAGTTTCTGGGATTTGTTTCATTTTTTCGGATTAAAGATTAAAGATCCTTTTTTTTGCATCAAAGGTAAAGACATTTAAATTCCTGTGCAAGATTCTTTAAAACCAATATAATCATGGTTTTGTGGAATAATTGTACGATTGATTTGTGTCTGTAATGCAATTCTTGAATCCTTCAAATGTTTTTTTTACCATTTAATCATTTCAGTAGCAATTTCTTCTTGGATTTATCTACTTTCACGACAGGTATAATAATTAAAATTCCTTGTTTATGTTTCTAGTTTAGTACAAATCTTTTTTTGAACAATGTATATTGTTGTACTGTTGAAATTGCTAATTTGTTTTAGATTTTCGGTGAAAAAAATTGACCAGATGGTGAATTTTCAGATTGTTTTAGGAATTTTGTCGCACGCGAAAGCTGTTAAAGATGATAGGAGGATTCATCTCAAGAGGGTTAATGTAAAAATTAATTTCCTGTTTTGCCTGTTTTTCCTATTAACTTTTCGCTTATTCGGAGTTCCTTTTGAATGGGGAATCACAAATTTTATTCATGGATTTATAGTTTGGTTCTTGGGTATGCCTATCCTGCGTTTGAGTGTTTCAAAACGGTGGAGAAGAATAGAGTTGAGATTCAAGAACTTAGATTTTGGTGTCAATATTGGTAAGGATTTCTACCTTTCATGTGCAATAGTATTTCAATCTTAAGGAATAGTGCTAGTGCATAATGCATGGAAGAAACACGATACTGACGCATGGAAATGATAATTTTTGTTAAAAATATTTTTTCATGTATAGGATTATCGTAGCAGTGCTGTCAGTTGTTGAGAGGATTGTTGATACCTTTATCTCTTGGTATGCATTTTCTGTATCCTCTTTCGGATTTTACATTTTTCGACTCTTTTTCATTGTTTTCTTGAGATTACAATGTAGGCTGCCAATGTACGATGAGTTGAAGTTGGTTCTGATCATTTACTTATGGTATCCGAAAACGAAGGTGAAACCCTAGTTAGATTTTCTTTCTTTTCACTTGTTTGCTTTCTCCAAATTAATTTCAAAATTGCTCAAAGATTTGTTTGCATAATGTAGGGGACTAGATATGTATATGAATCATTTCTACGGCCTTATTTGTTGAAGCATGAGAAGGATATCGACCGGAGTTTACTGGAATTTAGGGAGAGAGCATGGAGCCTGGCCATTTTTTATTGCCAAAACTGTACACAACTGGGTTCAGCAAAGATTGCGCAATTCCTTCATTTTGTAGCTTCCAAGTCTGCAAGGATTAATCCTAGCTTTGAGGTTACATTCTTTATCAATTAAAAATTTCATTTTGTTTGGCGTTATCGTTAATTGAAATGCAATCTCGAGTACTGCCTACCTAAAGTTTCTATTTGATTTTGTCCTACCAAGATAGAGATGTCAATCACATCTCATAAGACTAGACCACTTTCCAAAATGCCCGTAATGGCTCGCCCAGTGGCTTAGAGCACACACTCTATTATTTTTGTGGAAAACGATAAAAGGTTATACGGGTGGATTGGGCCTAGCCACGCTTGGTTAGAGTTATGCTTCGACAGGCCCTAGCCTATCCCATTTTTACTTCTTAGACTGGAGATTTGAGATTACACACTAGTTTTTGCCAAAAAAAAAAAAAAGGGTAATATCAAGTATCATCTTTTCACAAAAAATGTAAAGTATGATTTTTTTTCCATTCTATCACAACTATATCCTAACAATGCCTATAACAATTTGTGCAGAAGGTCGAAAATCAGCAATCTAATGAAGCTCCTCCACCACCTCCTCCTCCTCTCACCCCACCTAGTACGCCATCAAGATTAGCCAAGAAGAATGACAGCGAAAGTCCAAGGCGGCCAATAACACCAAGAACACCCTCCTTTCGTCATGCCCAAACATCTAAATCTGACTCCATTCGAGTTCGGGTGCAAAACACTGACACTGAGGGCGTTGTAAGCCCGGACGAAGATACCGGTTCGCCTATGGAACGACATTTACATAATGCCCGTCTTAAGCTTAGGCGATTCAGAGCTAGCGATTAGTAAAGCAGATTGTCAAATATATAAAAGAATAGCAAAAATAATCAAATTATATGAAATTGTATTAGGAATTTAAATTTGAGTAATGCTACACTTAAACACTTGGTTCACATTCACTTTCACATCTTAGTGGCGATTTTGCTGGCAATAATGCTTCAAAATTGCTAAATGTACACTCTTTGCGGGCCCCACCCCTACGTGTGAGGGATGTGAAAGTGAATGTGAATCAATATGTGTACCTTTAGCATTTTTGTTTAAATTTACTCGTTTTTATGCTTTGTGTATCTAACATTATATTTTCCTTCTTTTTGAATCGATCTTTCGGATTTGTTAATTCCTTTTAGATAAAATTTAAAGAATTAAGTTATATGTACATTTCTTGTTGACATTCTCTCTGTGTCAAAATGATCAGTAATGTGAAAGGTTGTTGTAAAAATCAATGTAGATAATAGATGTCATTTGTTAGAAAGTCAAATTTAATTTCAAGTAGAATGTATATGTAGCATGATTAAAATTGAAATGTGAACACGGCCTTTGCAGTTTGGAGCTCTGAGTAGCCAATTGCCCGGGTCATGGCTTAAAAAATGGGGTGGATGGAGGTGGCAATTCGTGGCAGCCTAAGGCGGTTGAGGAATTCATTCCTGGCAGCCATCTGTTTCGTGAGATGGGCCACATTGGATTTTCGAAAAATCGATTGGGACATATGCAAATTGCAAAATGTTGTCAAGCCCCTAGGGGATTAATATAAGAATTTTAATAGAACGGTGCGATTAAAAATTTATGGTTCTTATAAAATATGTAATTTAAATTAATTGTGGATTCAAATTTAAATTATAATTTGAATTTTAATCGACTAAATAATACGCACCCTTGTGACATGGGCTCCGTTGCAAACAGCCAAACATCAGCCGCCTAAAAAAGTGAGGAAGATGATGACGAGCCTGTGGAGTTGATGGTCAAGGTGGAGTCGACGGAAGGGTGGCTATCTAATGTTCTACAAAAACATTTAGAAAGAGATAACAAAAATCTTATAAACCCAGCAAAGTTAACAAATTTAATCCATCAATAATCATTAACCAACAAAGGAATCGCGGCGAAACAAGATTCACTTTTTTTTTTTTTCATCTTACCATGAATGCATGTCATTGTCAAGCGTTCTCTTTAAACATTTTATGCCAAAATTGTCCGTACAGACTGTACTATAAAAACGCTAACATATTTCTATTGGCGATGCGAAGGGACACAACACATGAAACAAGAAGATCTCTTTCTCGAACAAGTTGAAAAGGAAAATCTCTCTGCTTAATTGAGATTTCAAGTATCAACCATCAAAACCCATCGATCTGTCATCTGTGTCACTTCGCTCGAAAGGGTTTCTATAGGGTTTCACTATCCTGTTGCTCCTATGGCCTAACACTTCAAACAAACTCACTCTCACACAGACATATTAGAGAAAGTGTGGCAAAATCCATTATAAGAAATGGGTTCTCTGGAAAATGGAACAGAGAGAGGAGCAATGCATGGAAATGAAGGAATCGAAGAGGCGGAACCAATACTATTGGAGCAATCCCAGAGGTTTTGCATGTTACCTATTAGATATCCACAACTTTGGGAGATGTACAAAAAAGCAGAAGCGAGTTTCTGGACTGGTAATACAACGCATACATAAAAGAGATAATTAGTTGCAATATGTGTTGAATTAATGCGCCTCTGTCTCGTGTATGTTGTAAATTGTGTTCTGGGGTTTGTTCACGTTTCTCTATTCTTGAATTTATTTTTTCTTTCCGGATTACATTTTTTTTTTGCCTAATCCAAAATGTGACGAATTTTTTAAAGGAATTAAAGCAGAATATTTTGTTATCTAAATTGCCCAACTTTCTCCTTAATATATGCGTTTTTCACAATATTTGAGACAATTTTGAAATTGACATAACTAAGAAATTGATTTGTGGGGTTCTATTAGGTAAAAGAAGATGAAAAGGTTAAGTAGAGAAGAATATCGTTTTTTGTCAACTCACCTAAGAGCCGAGTCATAGAGTAGTGGATCACTTGAGTGGGAAGTGGAATGTTATTGTTTAAAAAAATAAAATGGACATGATTGGTTTTCTCTTTCTTTAATTCTCTACGTGTTCATTGTATTGTATCTAGTATTATGCAGGCACACCCACATTATAAGGTGTTTACTGCTTGCATTTCTATATGAATTATGCTAGTGTTATTACGTGTATAACGAACTCTTGGTTTTATTTGTTAACTGGATTTAAGATTGTTTTTCTTTTTTGGGCCAAATAATCAATGTCAGTAATAAATGGAATATGTGATTCTTGTGGGCTTTCTTTTTAATTCATGGATGGTAACTTGAAAGATAGTTGCTTATGTTGTTGAATCGTTTCTAGAGAAAAGATTTCTGTTGCCATGCTCTGTTCTTGGCAAAACCTTAAATCTTTAGTTATAATTGTTGTTTAGTTTTCCGGGAGATTCTGTTTGTTTATTTTTGTGGAGTGATCAATGATGTTGTCAGAAATATATTGGTATTGCCATATAAACATCAATCTTATTGGAGAAGGAAAGGCGGGTTGGGGGAATGGGGGAGGGAGGGTTCAACCCAACTGAAGGTTATACAAATTTATGTTTTGAAGCATATGAAAAGGAATTGGCTGTGAATGCCATGGTTCATGTTATTAATTTGTCTTGTCTCTTTATTTTATTTTTATTTTTTTAGTCTACTTTTAAGTGCTAAGCCAATTAGAGGCCTGGATCACCCCTGAGGTGATACGTGTTATTGTGATTAATAAACTATTCTTCTCATGTGGTGAAGAGGTTTTGAAGAAATCGAGAATAGGAGAATGGAAATTCTTTATTTACCAAAGCTCTGGCTCAAATCCAGATCCATTACAAGTATTTATAAACCGGCAAACAAACATAACAGACAAAGGAAAGGGATTCACTATCAAGGTCCCAAACTAACAAACAGAAATAAAAAGAACAGAAAGAATAATTGCAAATGACGTCCTGAGGAATATAAAGGTGAAACATTGAGTACACATATTTCTATATCCCCCCTCAAGTGGGACTATGATGGAAGTCCATCAAACCCAACTTGGACAGTAGAAAACGAAACTGAGGTGAATTCTTAACTGGAATTTCAACAGTTCCATCAATAAACCTTAACTTTATTTTCGCACCAAGGGCAATCCGAACTGATCTACTCCAAGCTAGAAAGTTTTTTCCAGTAAGAGGTACTACAAGAGACATACCTGGGTGATCAGCATTAGCTAATTGAAGTGGATCTCCGTCATATGCTTCGCGTCGACCTCTATTTGATTGATCTCCATTTGTTTGTGAATCGATACCTTCTTCAAATTCGTCAGCCATTCAGAAATAAAATCAATTTTGATTCACAAGTAATCAGTGTGCTTTAGATCTTATCTTCAAGATCTTCTGCTCTGATACCATGAAGAAATCGAGAATAGGAGAATGGAAATTCTTTATTTACCAAAGCTCTGGCTCAAATCCAGATCCATTACAAGTATTTATAAACCGGCAAACAAACATAACAGACAAAGGAAAGGGATTTGCTATCAAGGTCCCAAACTAACAAACATAAATAAAAAGAACAGAAAGAATAATTGCAAATGACGTCCTGAGGAATATAAAGGCGAAACATTGAGTACACATATTTCTATAGGTTTGCCAGTGTTTTTGGGTTGTTTGTTTAGCTAATTTGGTTCAGTTGACCTCCTTCAAGCTACGGATGTGAATCTGTGACAATATAGTTGTCTTTGCACCTATACTAGTCTTTTCACATGTGCAAGATTACAGTATATGGGACTTCTACAGCCTCTTGATTCTCAAAATTCATACAAATTTTGAGATGGTAATAGTGTGTTTTGCTGGCCATTTTGAATAAATACCTTCTAAGATTAGCATGCAAGGAAAGTGGACGGTTTTCTGTTCCATATCTACCATTTGACTGTCCATTAATTTTTATGCATAAATAACATAACAATGTATACTTGAACTTGGTGACCTTGAAAAATTTAGGGTGAGATTGTGGCTGTGAGTGTATATGACAGGAAGTCATGCTGGAAGTTAGTTTTATAGTCTTATAAATGTGGCAGCAGTATTTATCTTTAATATGATGATAGGTGCCCTAGTTGAGAAGTTTATGGAGATGGCTAGTTCTTCGATTATGTTAATGTGTTTGATCATCATTCATGCTTCGATCACTGTGCAGTTTAAATTTTTAAGTTTCTAGTATAATTCACGCTCTTTGCTAAGGATAGGATCATTGTTTAGCTTCACTTGATTTATAGCTTTCCCCATTTCCCCCCAGTTCTCTATTTTAATAAGATAAATGTTTTCTTGTATGCTCTCTTTTCTTGCTATAACTTTTATTAACATGTATTTGCTTGGACTTCAGTTGAGGAGGTTGACCTCTCACAGGATGTGCAGCAGTGGGAAACTCTATCTAAATCTGAAAAGCACTTTGTAAGTCATGTGCTGGCATTTTTTGCTGCATCAGATGGGATTGTCTTAGAAACTTTGGCTGCCAGATTTCTAAATGATGTCCAGATTCCAGAGGTTAATATCTCGACTGTTTTCCATCTAAAGACATATTGTAACACGAGAAGGACTACTGTTTTGGCATTTTCTATTTTTTCTTTCACAGTTTGATCTTTCATTCGTGTTTCCGTTTGTCCTCAATTTATGGATTTGACCTTAGATCTAAGTCTCTAGCCTTGACTGTATGGATGCTTTTGAGACCCATTATCCTTTTTACTGGTATGTGCCTTTGTGGGCAGTTTACCTATCAACTTTATTAATCAGTTGGAATTTTTTTTAAGCAAACAAATCAGATATAGTTTTATGAACCTTCTTCCCTTCTTCCAAATGTTCTTATCTTGAGGGGAACTTAGAAACAGTGACGGTTTTTTTTCTTTTCCCTGGACTAAATCAATTACTAATAATAGCAATTAATGTTGAAGTTTAGCAGAAATTTCTATTGAAAATCATTGTGGTTCAACTTCCAAAAGACTAGAATCCAAACTGAACTAATGGTGAGCTTTTCTGTTTGCTAATGTTTTCTTCTCTTTGTTCCTTGTTTCTTCTTTTTGTGTTTCCAATGTTTCTTTCTTTTTTATCTTCGCGGGTGGCAATTTTGTGCTAAATAGATCATTTTCTCTGTTTCTGTCAGTGAAGTAGGATATTCATTGTTCAAGAAGAAGAATTATGACAACAAGAAGTTTCTTTATATACTTTAAAATCATTATAAACTGGCAAAGATAACCATAAAATGCGTGAGCAATATGTTCTGATGGTTAGTAACACCTTGCAGTTAACTTTGATGAAAATTAATGTGTGACCTAAATAGTAGTACATTGTGATAATAAATTTTTGGGCTGAGTTTAACTAACACACCCAATTTTTGGAGAATGCATATCAACCCTCTCCTTTTAAGGCTAATTGAAAGATCTTGCAATTACCAATGGTCTTCAAGATTTGGACATGCAGTTAATTTTATCCTTTCCAGTGACAACTATGATTATAATTCTAAAAGAGAGTTTATGATTGTTTATGTAGTAAGATTTGACAATGAATAGGTAAGCGGAAGATCATCCAATTACCCCCATGTGGAGGATCCTAATCCTTCTGAAAATATGTGCCTTCATCCTGTGCAGGCATCTTAAATCGCAACTTAATATGGGTTTTTTTGTGAAATTTTGGTTGATGAGAGGATGTCCTGCTACATATTTACTCATTTACTGACATCTGGATTTGCTACTCTTTCAAGTTGAATTTTTTATTTACTAAAAGAATTGTTGATGAACGTATATGTTCTTCTGTATAATATGGGATTGAATGTAATAACTATGTTTATTTATTTAATAGTATAGAGTCAAAATTTCTATGGAGAAGAGCTGTCTGTAATGCCACTTTAGGTATATCTGCCTGACATCAATTCTTTTGTTGTTAATAGGCTCGGGCATTTTATGGATTTCAAATGGCAATGGAAAATATACATTCAGGTAGTGGGTATAGTTTAGTGGTAGAAAGTGTGATTCATTCTATTACCCCTTCAGAACATTCATATACTACGTGTAGTTATTTTTCATTTTGTAAATGTAGCGTCTGTTTGAATTCTCATTTTACACTATGAGGACGAGGGACCTCTTAGGTCATGTTTGCCTAAGCTTAAAAGTAAATAATTTTTTTTAATAATCAAATTTATAATTAAGTAAATTACTTATTTCGACACCTAAGTAAGAATTACTTTAAAAGAAGTCCTGCTTGATCCCAATTTTTGAAAATTCTTTTTCCTTCTAATTTTTTTTTCAACCACACATTTCATCAACTTCTATTAATATCTATTAAAATTTGATTTTTATTCAATCCAAATGGGGGGCGAAGTAACCTTTTTAATTACAAGCAACTCGAACATCATCCTCATTCAAGCTCCTCAACAGCCCTATAAGATTGAATCTCGAACTCTAGCAATTTCTATATTTACAATGCTCAATCTTTGATTATAAAGAGGGGGTACGTATTTAATATTAAGAGCATAATTCTACTTGAATAAATATTAAGTAAGTAAATACAAATGCCTGAATTGCTTTTATTAAAAAGTAAACCTTTTAAGATGAATTCGAAATTTTAGAAAGTTAATCTTTTAAGATGAACCACAAATCTTAATACTTACTAGATGTATATTCCATTCACAATTGCATGAATTTCAAATTTGTAATTAGATGTTTACTCTATTTTTTGCTATTTTATTTGAACAAGTGATTAATCAAACTGTTGACACACAAAACAGGCAGCTCAAATCAAATGGCCCAAGAAAGGAAATGACTCAAAAGAAGAAGCCCATATAGAGAAATCAGGGTAAAAGCCCAACCAGAAATATCATTAAATATGATGAAAGCCCAAAAAGACAAAGGTACAACGTCGCCCAAGCTTGCAGGACGCCCAAATATTGAGCGAATGAAACACCCTATAATCGCCCAGAGCGGAAGAACAATTGTCGCCCAAGAATGCTGAGTCGCCCAAAGTCCCAGAAATGACTAAAGTTTGTGGTTATCCAAAATCACGATTTAAGACGGTTTGAGCACATCATAATTACGCCCCACGATTTGAGAAAGTTGATGGCAAGCAGTTATGAAGAGGGCGTAGTGATAGGAGTTGCACACGGTAGTTATTAGCCAGCCGACCATGATGAAAGAAATGGGTAGTTACAAGCAGTTGCTAAACGATCAAAATTGTCCAAACCGTATAAAAGAAAGAAGAAGACAACGAAGAGACCCCGACAAAATTCACTCTCAAAAGAGAGAACATGTAACTTACTTTTTTTAGATTAATTTTTAATTACTTCAATTCCCTTGTACTTGTGTGCTTGCGCCCCTTGGGGCATCTTGTTCGTGTCCAAACTGTAATCTTCATATTCAATAAACGCCCAGTTTTGGGACTTTGTTCCAAGTACATGCTCGTGTTACCTGATTGTGAACATTTTCATAGAGATGTACAGCTTACTTCTGGAGACATACATCAAGGATTCTGAAGAGAAAAACAGATTGTTCAATGCAATTGAAGAAATTTCTTGTGTTGCACAGAAGGCAAAGTGGGCCTTGCATTGGATTAAGAGTTATCAGTATATCCTCGTGTACTTTTTAATCATTGTAATCCAGACTCTGAATCTGAACATTTAACAACATTCAAGCAATGCTTACCAATTTCTGGAATGTTTATTGGAAGTAGTGGCCTGTACCTACGCTAATTGCTTTAATTTATAGCATGTTCCATTTTTGAGAGACATTGGTGAAAAAACTCATAAATATAGTCTTGTATTTAGCTCCTCATTTCATGGAATTGTAGGGTTTGGGACTATTTTCTCTTCAATGACTCTTTTGCTTTTAGGTGCTTAAGCGTATCTCTCTGAACATAGTAATTTGGATAATCATGATTAGCATGATACAGTGAAACGTACAGTTGTTACAGTTCATTAAACATTTGCTAATATCTATCTGTAGTTCGAGCTCATTTGCAGAGAGACTTGTTGCTTTTGCATGCGTTGAAGGAATTTTCTTCTCTGGGAGGTATTATTCTACATCTTTCAATCCAATCTGGATAATAATAAGGTATGTTTGTCTATTCTCTAAAGTTTCCTGACATGCTTTCATTCCTTCTCAGCTTTTGCGCAATATTTTGGCTTAAGAAGAGGGGATTAATGCCAGGTTTGACATTCTCAAATGAACTTATTTCAAGAGATGAAGGACTCCATTGTGATTTTGCTTGCCTTTTGTACAGGTTATCATCATCATTATTGCATCCCAGCAAACTCCCTCCCCTCCCCTTGAAACAGAAAAAGATGGAAACGAATAAATAAATAAAATAAAGTGAAAATGGTTGTGGGCAGGCGGAAGGGGGTTTTTGCTTGTCGTATGAGATTGAGCAGTGATTATTGTTTCTTTGCTTCATTTCTGCAGTACATTACGAAACCAACTGCATTCTCAAAAAGTTCATCTTATAGTCAATGAAGCTGTTGAAATTGAGACCCAATTTGTTTGCGATGCGCTTCCTTGTGCATTGATTGGAATGAATTCCGACCTAATGAGTCAGTACATAAAGTTTGTTGCTGATCACTTGCTGGTATCTCTCTCTCTCCCCCCCTTCCAGGAGGATTATTTTTGTTGAAAAACTAAAAATGTTGATAATTGTCTCAGGTTGCTTTAGGCTGCCAGAGGAAGTATAATGTTGAAAACCCCTTTGATTGGATGGAATTTATATCATTACAGTAAGTATAAACGCAAACAATAATCCAATACTTTGTGAATTACACTTTGCATGTGTTTTGAATGTTTAAGAAAAGGCTCCTTATAGTTGGTGTTTTTCATGAATCTATCTAATAGTCTTGACAGTGCTTGTTAGCGTCTTGAAGGAGCTGGTAAAGCAGTCGATATCTGTTGTTGTGGCTGCATATATTACTGTCACTGAATCGATTTTTAGATAAACTGATTTATGTGACTTTTAGGGTTAAAAACTCTGTTAGCCACTCAACTAATAACAAAATTTCATTTTAGTTTCCTAACTTTATGTTGTTTTGAAGTTGTCAATGATGTTGCTTTTCAGTTTTGTCACAGTTAAAAATTTTCTAATGAAACGTGAGACGTGGTAGCCTAACCCAAGTAACATGAACCTTTTTTCAAGTTCAATGAGTAATATATATTTAAAACTTCAATTTGGTTTAATATATTGTTTCATTGTTTAATTGAACAGAGGAAAATCTAACTTCTTTGAGAGAAGGGTGGGAGATTACCAGAAGGCTTCTGTTATGACAAGCTTACGAGGCGATTCAAAGAGCTATGAATTCAAACTGGACGATGACTTCTAACCATTTCGTTTTTGCTTCATAGTAGTATAAACATATGTGAAAAATATGATTTCATTCTATCGCAAGTGTTCGATTATTATAGTAAAATTGTCGTATGCTTTTAGGAATTATTCCTCTTTAAACAGGAATTTTATTTTTTTTTTTCGCATTTTTGAAAATTCGCAATTCGATAATTGAATAATGTAGTCATTTACATAAATTCTTTTCAATTCATTATTACACCTAACTAAGCCCTATCAAAACAATTTTTTTACATACTTATTTTCATTCACATGACAAAATATTTTGCACGTAAATTCAAAAATTTTCGTTTTTTTATTCATAAATTCTTCAAAAAAATTTCATTTTACCAAAATAATGATTATCAAACGGGGCTAAATCTTCGATAGACAATATGCCATATCGTACAATGTCTATTTTGTCTTCATATGAAGTTTATATTTTTAAAAAAAAATGTTGGTAAGACGTCAATTCCAATTCTTAGGGCCAACCAATTATAACAAATTATTGGTTGGTTAGTCGCCCTTTACACGGGGAAGATATGGATATTTCTGATGGATTACCAAAACGTATAACCCAATATATTTTCTTACAGATATTTAAACTTCATAAATAAATGAAAGTAGATGCAACAAATAATATTTGCATTCGATATATTATATTTGTCACACAACGTAAAATTGCAATAATTATTTGAGTTTCTTGTAATCAAAGACAAAGTTGAGTATCATATATCTTTCTTTCTTCTTTTTGGCATTATGTCATTGTTTTTACAGCTCTCTCTCTTTACGGCTACGAAATCAATACAATAAATAGCATATAAATTGGTATTGGTATATGCTAAAGGACGAGAGAGATTACGGAAGTGCCACTTTTTTTTAACAATAGTCGTAACACTAAAGTAAGCGAGTAATGTTATTTATCGTCATTCGACTGTAATCAAGGGCGAACCCATTAAGGGCCCAGTGGACGAGGCATAATTTTAAGTTTTTAATCCATTATTTTTACATAATTTCGTCTCGCCATCGCTGAATCACGTTCTTGGGTCCGCACCCTGACTGTAACCTCATTTTAACTAGCGTCAATACGACATTAAATGATAAGTGAAATTAGATAACTCATTTAATTTCACATTTCATTTATCGTCATCTAAATTGGATTGTAGCCACATTGGGGCTAAGTGGTATAATTCTGTTAATGTATTGGCCATGAGCAAGCGGTAGTGCTTACCAACCAACCAAAGTTATCATGATGAATAAGCTAAAATAAAGCTGCCACAAACACAGCTATGCTTGTCCTCATTGATACTAAAAGTTGCTTTTAATTAATTCTCAAATCAAGTAATTATCATCAGTCATCACAAGGGAGACTTTAATGGGGATATTAGCATATCATCATCTCTACCTACCTCATACCATTATATATATCCCAAATCAAAATCCTGCACACAATTATCACAAAAGAAAAAACAAAAAAAAAATTCAAATAGTGGTTGAACATTATGTTGAAAGGTCTTTTAAATTGTATTATTATATCTGAATTCTGTTCGATATCAATTTAATTTATGACAAGTTTTCATACGATTATTTCATTCAAATCCACGATCAATGTTGGCCAATCTATTTGTGCATATCGATTTCTTACCCACAAAAGAAACATTTCCAAACGGATTATGCTACATGTACCGAATCTTTTACCTACTACTCACAATGGGGATGTAGACTACATTGTCGAAATTTTTAAATGCACGGAAGTACCGCGCATTATGTGAGAGGGAGTAATCCATTATATACAAATTATTATGTACAAATGAATTAACCCTTTCTAAACAGCTAAATTAGAGTGCTATTATTAAGTCAAGATTATTGCCTATACATTTCTTTGTAAAGGAAAGAAAGAGAACAGTTCTAATAGAAAACTTGTGACATGGTTCTGGGATCTTGAAGGTGGGTTGGGATAAAATATTTTATACGTAAATTCACTTTTTTCAATTTTTTTAAAATACTCATTTTCAATAACATTTATGCAATAAAATATTCAACACGTAAATTCAAAAAAATTTCTTATTTTTTAACCACACATTTTTCAAAAATTACTATTCAAAATAAAATTTGTTCCCCAAAAAAATGGCAACCAAACAAGGGCTAATCATTTTAGCGTTTATTTAGGAGGGATGTATTTTTTCAGGTAAAAAGACCTCCATTTTTAAGAAAACTCATTTTCAACCACACATTCTTACGTGAAATAATATTACACGTAAATAAAAAAAAAATCTTATTTTTTAAACATACATTCTCTATAAAATTACTATTCAAAAATTCATTTTCCCTTAAATTTCCATTGAAATAGAGCCGGCTTTGCAATTTTTTGAGAATTATGGTTTTTTTTTTAGCTTCATTTTATCGAGTTTTTGGTAATAATGTCTTTTCAAATAGTGATTTTTTGAAAAATGTGTGGTCAGAAAAAAAGAAAAAAATGTACTAAAATTAAAATGAAGCCCAAACAATGACATAATTAAAAATTAAAGAAAATTTATGAATTCATGGAATATGTATGAAAATGTTTAAAGAAAAATAATTTAAAAAATGGTGGAGTTCATGTCAGCAATCATTATTTGAAAACTCTTTTCTGTACATATTTATTTCCAAGCATACATTTAAATCAATAATATATTTTGTACGTAAATCTAATTTTTTTTCTTTTTAATTACACATCTTATTAAAAATTATTATTCAAAACATTTATTTATTTGCATCGGACGGGCTAAACTGGTTCACACGGTGGCATAATTGACACACACTCCCATATTTAAGTGTTTCTTTTCCCGTGAAACTCCATTAGCCTACTTTTCAGTTCAACTTTCACATTTCAGACCAACCACATCGCACCAATCTGCGCACCCTCTTGGTTCAAAAGAATAACAGCTTTCACCATACAATCATCTAACACACACTCACGCACACATAAACAACCCCATATGAACACACAGAGACATAGATGATGACCCTGTAATGGAGATGTGCTCGCAGTTGCACCTGAATCCCTGGAACAGTGTCTTGGAACTAACCAAGACGTCCCAAGAACAGGGCATTGACCCCTTATCGTGGGCAATTCAAGTGTCTTCAAAGTTGAGTTCTGTGGGAGTTTCTTTACCTTCTTCTGAACTAGCCAACGTTCTGGTATCTCACATTTGTTGGGATAACAATGTGCCCACTGCATGGAAGTTCCTAGAGAAAGCCATGGCTCACAAGATTGTGCCTTCGTTACTCGTTCTGGGCCTGCTCTCCGCAAGGTTCCTTTCTAGTTTATATTCTTCGTTCTTTTTTTTTTTTTTTTTCATTTTAATTACATGGGTTTGTCTCAAACTGTCAACCTTTACTTTCTCTTATTTCTTGATAAATCAATTTTATAGTGTATCGGATTTTATCTCCAATACTTGTTCTTGGATGATCACTCAACAGGTTTTAGGTGTTCTTTAGTGCTATTTTGTTCTTTAAAATGCTTGCTAGTTATGTCGCCGTGCATTTTCAAATAGTTGTAGTTGATATTGGATTTGGTGTGTTTGGTTCTCGATTGACAATGGAGTGAGAATGTTATCTTGATTAACTATCATTCCATTTGTGTGAGTTGGATTCCATTTCAATTTATGGGTCCCTCGTAAAAATTAATGATGAATTCTTGAATTGGAAGAATGCTGCAATCTGATCTAAAATATTCTGTTCAATTAAATTATGTCAGGTACTTTTTGAAACAGTGGTTATTTCGACATTTTTTTCAATGTGTTTATGTTTTTATTGTAACATGTAACAGTTGCTTCCATCTTTCAAGAGGTACCGAGATTGATTCTAAATGAGAATCTAGAATTGTTTTGCTCAAGTCTTTGGCATTGTCTTATTGATTTCTATATTAGTGAGGTGCATTCAATATTATCTTTTGTAGGAGCTGTTATTTTCTGTTTACAACTTCAAACATGTCTTAGCTGCCTATTGTTAACATATTCTAAATGAATGCTGTAATTAGATTTGGTGATATATTCCGCTGATTATGTTGTCCTGTTTGTATCATCATGTATTTCTTCTTTAGTGTTGGATGCTGAAGTAACAATAAATTTTATTTAATTAACATTTTTGAGCGATAACGTAGAGGCAGATAAATTCATCCTGTTGTGAACTACCTGCAAACTCATTATGACTGATGTATAGTCTCTTCACTGGCAATGCTATTTGAGTCTATGGTGTTAAACAGTGGCATCTCAATCTGCTAGATATTCAACAAAACATTTTATCAAAAAAATACAATTTTTTTTAATGTTTCTGCATTTGATTTCTCACTTCGGTTCAAATTGAACTGTATCATTGTTTCTTAACTTCATAACAGGGTAATGCCATATCGGCATTCTCATCCAGCAGCATTTAGGCTTTATATGGAACTCCTTGAAAGGCATGCCTTCACGGTTAAACAATATGCGCCTTTGCCAGACTATCAAAAGTGAGTATTTAATTTTTACCAAACCCCTGTTTTATTGTCTGCTGTCAACATACATTTCTCTATGTACTATTTTAAACATTACACATTCCCTTACCAAAGGCGAGTTTTTGTTATTCTTGAGGAGTGAAAGAGAGACACCACAACTTTATTGGGTGTGATGCTTTATCAAGCTCATATTTAGTTTTATTGAACTGTATTATTCGTGCTGAGTTGCTTAGTTCTTAATTTCCATTTGTAAAGCTTGACTTGATTTAAGAAAACACCATTTCACCTTTTTTTCTAGCGAATCACCTTCTTCATTCTAGTCTAATGTGGGTTGTTGTTTCTGAAAAAGCAAAAAAGAACATTTGTTGGAGTCCATTTGAAAATGTGGACGGTGTGTCCAGTGGTTACTTTCGAACCTCTTGGTTGGTTCATTTGCCCTTGTGATGCAGTACTTCATTCTCTGAATAATCAGAGAGCTAAGTAGTGACACGTCACGTGAGTACATTCATTGTTTTTAACCAGTAATGAGGCATATAATCATAGAGAATGACATCAATTAAGAGCATTGTTAGAACTTGGATTTATGACACTGGGATTTTGGGCTGTAAAAATACGATATACTGTCTACATTGCAGGCTGACAAATTGTAAATATCAAGCTTGCCTGACTCGAATCTGAAAATTCTTTGTTCCTGACTTTAACTCATCTTAATTTCTTTAAGATTGTATCAATGATATGTTACAACAAAGGCCACGTAAAGGCTTTCCTTTCCATGTATCTACATGAAGCATTGTAATGTAAAAGTTTTTAGTAGGACCAATCTGTTTTTGTCATTTACTCTGATCATTTTAGTTTTTCTGCATGAATTAAATGTTGAGCAATATATGTTTTCTGACCTCTCATCTCAATGTAGGATCATGAATTCGTTGGATGCTATCCTTAATTTCTCTCAGATATTTACTCTGCAAACAAATGAGCCCGGTGTTCGTTTGGTCCAGTTCGTGTTTTCAATTGTTTGGCAGTTAGTTAATGCATCGTTAGATGATGAGGGACTGCTGCAGCTTACTCCAGAGAAGCAATCTAAGTGGCCAACGGAAACAAAAGACATGGATGTAGATCACCATGATAGTTATAACGAGAAGAAGAATGAACATAGAGAGAGATTGAAGACTTATAATACTGTTATGGCCATAGAGTTGATTGGGAAGTTTCTGAAAAATAAAGTAACTTCCAGAATTCTTTACTTGGCACGACAAAACATGTCAGAACTCTATCCTTCTTAGAAGTTTAATTTAGGAGTTAGGACTTTCTTTGACTTTACTATTTTATATGTGGTCAGCTGAAGTGAATTGTGATGATTCATTTTTTGCATCTCATATCAAGCACATACTGTTAAGTTTATGTGATGACAAATTCATATGGAGTTTGATGAATCATACAAATAAATAATGTAAAAGTAACATGAACTATATAGTTGGGTTCATTTTTAGAAGAAACTTATGAATCTGACACCTCTAATGGCCTTCTCTCAAGGTTTATATATTATTATCAATTTATTTCTAGACACTAATGTATCATTCTGAGATTATTCCAATACTGTTATGGCATAATGACTTGTTTGCCCCTCCGCTAGGTCTACGCAATGGGGAATTTTTATCCAGCGAATTCAACTGCTCGCAAAAAATTCATCAGCCTTGAGAAATTCAGAAGTCATGACACCAGATGGTCTTTTACATTTGATATCAGATAAGCAAAAAAATATGTCTCATTATTGCCAGAAAAGTTCCTTGCTAGAGTTTCATGGTATACTCCAATCCACGCCTCTAGATGATTCTACTGGTCTCTGTCTTGGAGTTAGTCGTTCTGCTCTTTGGCTTCCTCTTGATTTGCTCCTAGAAGATGCAATGGATGGTTATCAAGTTAATGCAACTAGTGCAATTGAAGTGATTGCTGGTGAAGTGATTTCCTGTCATAAACCTCAATTAAAAATTGATATATGTACTTGTTTTAGTGCTTTACGTAATGTAAGTTGGAATTTTACTTTTGCAGGTTTAGTTAAGACTCTTCAAGCAATTAACTCGACTTCTTGGTATGAAATCTTTTTAGGACTTTGGATGGCTGCTCTACGTCTTGTTCAAAGGGTTAGAACTTAGCTTGGATAATTATTTTTGGGTCTCGACTTGTTTAATTTAGCTTAAATTTGTTTGCTTTGGATTTTCAAACAACTAGAAATCTTATTGGTGAATGTAGTGTCATGCAAAGGAATTGGTGTACATGGACTGAAATTTAGGAGAAAATTGATATTTATTTGCGTAGCACATGCTTGTTTTAGAGGTTTGTGCTTCTATTTGTTTCATACATCTAGATAAATTACTGCATGAAAATAAGGGAATGACTTGAAATTTCGGTAGAACAACATGCTTGTCTTTATGTGAAAGCACGACTCTATTCTTTTTCTTTCTCCTTGCTGTCATTTTATTTATTGGTAACAGATGAACTACATTTGACTGTAGGAAAGGGATCCTATCGAGGGACCGGTGCCCCGCTTGGATACTCGAATGTGCATGTTATTGTCTATCACTACTCTTGTAATTTCTGATCTTGTTGAAGAAGAGGAAAGTATAGCAACTGATGAGATTGAAGGTGCTATGGACAGCAATAATCAAGTTCCCAGGACGCGTCGTACGGATTTAATTTTTAGTGTACAGAACTTAACTGAATATCACAGCTTGCTAACTCCTCCAAAATCAGTCATTGACAAAGCCAATCAGGCTGCTGCAAAAGCAATGATGTTCATATCAGGCATCAATGTTGGCACTGCATACTTCGAGTGCATCAGCATGCCAGATATGCCAATGAACTGCTGTAAGTAGTATTTCTCTAACTTACTGCATATTAAAATGACCAGTTAGATCTTCAATTTAGGAGGATCCAAGAGGAATGCTATCATTTTCTTATCTTGGTGTTTGAAATTGATTTCATTAGTGGCTCTGTCCTGCAAACAAGTTTCCATGAAAATTACGTCTTTTTTACCTTGGATTTGGAAATTTGAGTTTTGTGGTTACTTGTCACTGTTTCCAGTGCGATTAGTCCTCTGTTTTCTTTGCAGCTGGGAACCTGCATCATTTAATAGTTGAGGCATGCATTGCCAGAAATCTACTGGATACGTCCGCTTATTTCTGGTCAGGTTATGTAAGCGGACACATCAATCAACTACCTCAAAGTGTTCCAAATCAAGTGTCTGATTGGTCATTGTTTATGAAGGGGGCATCACTTACTCCATCAATGGTTATTGCTTTAGTATCAACTCCTGCTACAAGGTAATCACAGGATGCCCTTGCCAATTAAAATGTAGACAATAAAGTTTCATACCTAATCTCAATTTGTCCTAGTGTGTTAGCCAATGGGGGTCGAGGCACTAACACATAGTTACTAGTTGGTTACAATTATGCTCAAAATTCAACGCCATTCAAAAGTATGTAATCGGATGAGTATAGGTGAGGACTTTCAACACAAAATCTAGGTGATAATACATCTCATTTAGTCCATCAAATGCAAATGTTTTTAATCTTTCAACAATCTATACATCGAGAACTGAAATCATCATTGAGAAGCATTTTTGGGACACTTAAAACAAAAAAATGATATTGACTGTAACGTAAGAGGCTTCTTGCTTTGGTGTTGCAGTGGCTTCAGATATGCATTAGGCTACATTTAGTACCCTAAGGTTCCACCATATTTCTTCAGTTGAACCTTTTTCTTTCCTTAAGCCAGATAGACACATGCTTTTTATTTTATTGATTTTGCCAATAATAAAGCAACTGAATTTAAGCTCATGGATTTGATGGAAGCTTAGCAGAGATTGAGAAAGTATTTGAGGTTGCAGTCAATGGATCTGATGATGAAAGGATAGCCGCTGCTACTATTCTCTGTGGGGCCTCTTTGATTTGCGGATGGAATATACAGGTAGTTTATCAAGTCATCCCCATTTCTTGAGATATATTTTCATCAAATTTCATGTTGGTATCAAGTGATCACTGAGAGCTTTTGTCTTTCCTTACAGTAGACAGTACCCACCCATCGTTATTTATTTATTTGCCATTTTGAGTTACTTTTCGGTGGCAAAAAAGCCGAGTTTTTCTAATTGTGCTCAGCTAATGATCCTGCAGGAACACACTGTTTATTTCATTACTAGATTACTGTCTCCACCAGTTCCTGTTGACTATTCTGGGTGTGACAGCTATTTGATAGGTTATGCTCCGATGCTGAATGTCCTTCTTGTTGGGATAGCACCTGTTGATTGCGTCCAGATTTTCTCTGTACATGGTTTGGTACATTAACTTTTACACACCTACTCTTGCAAAAAGTAGAAGGCAGATTCGTGGTTTAGCGAAATTCTAGGATAACTGGTAGTACATTTTGTAACATTAGCCTTGTATAGTATTGAAATTGTTTAGAACAAGCGACGTGCACATGCTGATTAGTCCTTCACCTTTTGTGATCTTATAATCCACATCTTTGTCCATACCTGAGTAACGGTACAATGTGATGTCTAGTGCTTGGACAGTTCACCTCTCTATTGATTCTGGAAAGTCGAAACATATATTTTCAAGTGTTGTATGAAAGGGCCTAAGATATGATACAAGTTATTGTTAGTTTTTTCCTAACTCCCATTTGTTTGATATGCAGAGTAAAAGAGCAGTTTACCCACTTTTTAATTTGTAAAATATGAAGTGCAAGTGATATTTTTGGATTTTGTAAAGAGTATACAGTTAACATAGGAATTTCCTGGTGATATAATGTGAGGAAGTAGGGATGGCTAGGCACTATGAACTTAGTGGAAACAGCATACTGATATTTTCTGCGTTTACCAGGTTCCACAACTTGCTGGTTCATTGATGACAATCTGTGAGGTATTTGGTTCATGTGTTCCGAATATCTCATGGACCCTGACATCAGGAGAGGAGATATCTGCCCATGCCGTGTTTTCAAATGCATTTGCTCTACTTCTAAAGCTGTGGAGGTTTAATCATCCGCCTGTTGAATACGGAGTCGGAGATGTACCACCAGTAGGATCTCAACTTACTCCTGAATACCTCCTACTAGTGCGGAATTCCCATCTAGTGTCTTCAGGAAACATGCTCAAGGACCCAAATAGAAGGAGACTTGCAAAAGTTGCCAGTTCATCGTCTCCTAAACCCATATTTGTAGACTCATTTCCGAAACTTAAAGTATGGTATAGACAACACCTGGCATGTATAGCTTCACCCCTCTCGGGTCTTGTCAATGGGACTCCTGTTTATCGAACTGTTGATACACTACTCAATATGATGTTTAAGAGAATTAATAGAGGATGTCAGTCCGTGACATCTGGAAGTAGTAGTTCCTCTGGACCCGGAAGCGAAGATACTTATCTGAGGCCTAAGTTACCCGCTTGGGATATCCTAGAAGCTGTTCCCTTTGTGGCTGATGCTGCTCTAACAGCATGTTCCCATGGAAGATTATCACCTCGTGAACTCTGCACAGGTTAGTCTGAACATTTGGACTTCCTCCTCATGTACCTAAAGAACCTGAAAATATTAAATATTGTTTGAGCCAAAAAAATATACAGTATATTCCTCAAGTTCATGAACTGGAACATCACAAATATCCTTAAGCTTTTGGTTCTTAATATCTATAACTAGAAATCAGTTTGATAATCATATTACCACTTCCCCTTCTGCCAAACAAAGAACAAACACGGGAATGAAATGGAAAAAAAATTCGAAAGAAAGTTTGTCACGAGCAATGGCTCTGCAGCTTGGAACAAATGTTTTGCAGGCTAGCCTTCTGCACTAATGCAAATTGCTTTTATTACAGGGCTTAAAGATTTGGCTGATTATCTTCCTGCTACTTTGGCGACTATTGTAAGTTATTTCTCAGCTGAAGTAACTCGTGGTGTTTGGAAACAAGTTTTTATGAATGGAACTGATTGGCCCAGTCCTGCTGCAAATCTCTCCAATGTCGAGGAACATATTAAGAAAATACTGGCTGCCACTGGTGTTGATGTCCCCAGTCTTGCTGCAGGTATGCTTTTCTGTAAAGAAGAGTTGGACATGCATTTCTAAGTGAAGGTTATCGACAATTTTCTTACTGCAGTCTCTTGCATGTGAATTTTCAAGGTTGGCACTTTAGATCATGTAGTTTGATAATTCCATAAACAGATTAGATCAAAATGAGAAGTGCATGCATCTTTGAAGTATTTGTGTTGTTTATTGTCTAGTAGCTTTTTGGCAAAGCGAAACAATTGTTAGAAATGGTCTTTTTTTTTTTTTTGGAAATATAACTTTTTCATTTTTTTTCTTTACTTATTCTGATATACTTCAATGTCTTTTGGAAACTTATACTTGTAGGGGGGAGTTCTCCAGCTGCACTTCCGCTGCCCTTGGCTGCATTTGTAAGCCTCACCATAACCTATAAACTCGATAAAGCCTCACAACGTTTTCTCAATCTAGCAGGCCCGGCACTGGAGTCCCTAGCAGCAGGTTGCCCATGGCCGTGCATGCCAATAGTGGCTTCTTTGTGGACCCAAAAGGCAAAACGTTGGAGTGATTTCCTCGTATTTTCTGCCTCTCGTACTGTCTTCCTTCATAGCAATGATGCTGTTGTTCAGCTTCTTAAGAGCTGCTTTAGTGCTACACTTGGTTTAAACAGTACCTGCATCACAAGCAATGGTGGTGTCGGAGCACTTCTTGGCCATGGATTTGGATCACATTTTAGCGGTGGGATCTCTCCGGTTGCACCCGGGATTCTATATCTACGAGTCTATAGATCAATCCGAGACATTATGTTCTTAAGGGAAGAGATAGTTGCTATATTGATGCAATTAGTGAAAGACATAACATTTACGGGGCTTCCTAGAGAGAGGTTCGAAAAGCTAAAGAAAGTCAAAAGCGGAATGAAACATGGGCATCTCTCGTTTGCTGCAGCAATAACGAAAGTGAAACTAGCAGCTTCTCTGGGGGCTTCTTTCATATTCTTATCTGGCGGACTGGGGCTGGTTCAGTCACTAATAAAGGAAACTCTTCCTTCTTGGTTTATGTCCATTCACTGGTCCAAGCAAGAAGGGGACTCGGGTGCAATGCTTCCGTTGCTTAGGGGGTATGCATTGGCATACTTAATGGCCCTTTGTGGAGCTTTTATTTGGGGGGTCGACTCATCATCATCTGCTTCAAAGCGTCGTCCAAAAATTCTCGAATGTCATTTGGAATTTGTGGCTAGTGCTGTTGATGGAAAGATATCTCTTGGTTGTGATCCGGTCACTTGGCGTGCTTATGTGTCTGGTTTCTTGAGTTTGATGGTCAGGTGCATGCCAAGTTGGGTAGTTGAGGTGGATGTAGAGTTATTGAAGAGACTGAGTGAGGGGCTGAGGCGTTGGAACGAGAAAGAACTTGCTTTTGCTTTGCTTGGCGTTGGTGGAGTTGGTACCATGGGTGCCGCTGCTGAACAAATAATCGAAACTGATTTGCGACCATTTTCTCCTTTCTCATAATTTTGTAGTTAGTGTACACTGTACATGTACAGCTCTTATATGTTTTTACCCGTGCTTGCGTAGGAAAACTTGTGGGGAAATGGAAGCTTTGGAGTCTACAGACTGCCAAGTTCTTAACAGTCCTTTTTAGTACACAATTTCATTTGCCCTGTACAGTCGTTTAATTGCTAGTCCGACAACGAAACACTGCTTTGGCACATCCTTTCAACACAACATTACATTTACTTTCATTTCTGGATTTTAATTGAACACTGTTACACCAAAGAATCGAAGGCCAACTGAACTTCGAGCTCGTCCTATGATGTTAAGATACCGTTTCAATACCAAATTGGGGCCAAAATAGGACCTGCAGTGAATATTGCAAGCATTCTACTACTGGTGAACTATTGCTTGTAAATTTTTCAAATAAAGTTCAGGCACTTGGTTCTTATCCAAGAATAATGCGTAATATCATCCCTATATCCATATTTAGCAATAGCTTCTGTCTCTGCCTGGACCTTTTCACCTAAAAGTGGAATATTGTGATGCCAATTGTTTCAGTTACTCACATCCTGCGGTAAACATACACCACTTTACAATCCATTATTGAACATTCGAGGCTACCAACACTTAAATGCAACAGGCTGAGACCCACACGGTTTTGCATTGGTTATTTCAATCATGCTACATGTACATTTTATTTTACATCATTCTTAATATTGTGTCACGTGATGATATATGGTTGAACAGTTTTTAAAAAAAACACAATTTCCCTCCCAACACCTTTTGAATTCTAGTGGAGTGTACACATGTTGAGATCTAACAAGGAAGCTTTGCATTCGTCAAACGAGATTTAATGTGGTACAATTGAAATAATAGATCACCAAATTCAAAGACAAGATTTAAAGTAAAGAAAACACTAGAGAAAATTAATGGAAGAAGAAAATGATTTTATTTCAACCAATAGAGAGCATAAATTATACAATTTGTATGATGCTTCAAGAAATATGAAAGGAGGGGCTACATATTTATAGGTGCATACCAAACCATAAAGATAGAAATAATATAAAAATAGTGTGGAATAGTGAAAATAATATTTTTCAGTAAAATCACGTGAAATAAAAGGAAACAATATCACGTGAAAATAAAGAAACAATATTTTTCAATATTTTTCCCAATAAAACAATGTGCAAAGAAGAGAAAAAAATATTCTCAAAATATTCCACATTATTTTGGTAACCAAACCTAACAATCTCCACTTTGACACAAATTTCGATGCATCGAACTAAGCAACAAAATTTCTCCACCTGGAAAAATAAATCTGACTGCATCGAAATGACAAAACTCTTGAATCAAAAACTTCAAATCTCTCCAACACAAAAAACCGTCTTCCTCTTCCCAAGTATCCAGCGTGATTCATAAACCACATCTAGTTCCCAAAAATTCCAACATGGAAACAATCAACCAAATAGTATCCACAAATGATACTCGAACTCACACACCAAGTTCCCAAAATTCCTCAATGGAATTCACAATCAACCAAATATGGTAGAAGCACACCCTGTAGCAAAATCATCACCAAGTGCTTGAACTGAAGATTGCTTGCTAGACACATCATCTTCAAAAACACACACACCCACATCTGGACTATACCTCTCCTCAATGAGTCTTTTCCTAGCAATAGAACACGATGGAATCGCTAAAATTGATGGCAAAGCGGGATTACCCATGTCAACCAAACTCTCATGAGCAGTGTTCACCAAATTCGACTCAGAGCCAAAACCCAACGGTACTGTACCAAACTGAATTTCCACAACCGTACGAAAAGAAGGTCCACATTGTTGATATGAGTAGTACCTATCAAATCTTTTAAACTTTCTTGATCTAGGTATTACAATCACCCCCCGTTAGACTCGCGACGTCCTTGTCGCGCTTGATCCATCTAAGGATCCTTTGTCAGGCGTTGGAATTCTAGAGGTGGCTCCTACGGATTCAAGAGGTGGCTTCCGCCCTGTGGCATAGCATTTTGTCCCGCGTAACACTTAGTTCTCGATTTTCGGCTGGCAACCGGGCTCTGATACCATTTGTAATGACCCAGGTCCCATTTAACGGGCTGCCCTGACTGTTAGATCGACAACGTACTGTCCCCACTGTACCAACATGGATCTTTTCAGCATGCTTTATCCTCATTCGCACGCTCCCCGAAAAAACTTCTCAAGGGGTCACCCATTATAAAATTACTCCAACCCAAACATGCTTAACTGTTGAGTTTCTAACGATGGACTTCCGGAAAAGAAGGTGCACCTTGTTGATATGAGTAGTACCTATCAAATCTTTTAAGTTTTCCTGATCTGGGTATTACAATGACCCTCCATCCAATTTTATTTGAGGATCACCTACTTAGGTATGGAAATATTCTAATATCGCAGAGTTTTGATATGCAAATAGGTACGTATATATTGTAATGTAAACGGTGAAAATGTCAAGGATTTGCTCTAGACATGGACTATAGGCATACATTGATCACCTTTGTTTGTAATGAGTAATGCTAGTATTTAGTCCAACTAGTGTTTAACACCACTTGAGGTGGCATGAAATGATAGATTAATTTAAATGCACATATGACATGTTTAGTTGGATATAATATGTTACCATCTAAACTTGTGTTTTAGCACAATGCGACTAGAAAAGCATTATTCTTACTAGATTCATGCTCGAAGAACATTTAAAAGGTATAAAATGAATGTCTTACAAGCCATGCAAGATCATCATTATTGATGATATGAGAATACGAAAAAACTTTTCGCTTGAATTAACGTGTTGCTTCAGCTCAATTAGAGACTATTTTACATGAGCCAAACCTATACTTTTCATTGAATTTTGACCCAAGACGTGTCCGTGGACTAACTCATAATTGTTGCATGAATAATATACACAAACCAAATGGAGGATTCTGCTAGCATGGACCACACTTGTCCCCGCCCCCAACAGTCCAAGGCCCAAGGTTTTGCTTGGATTTTACTATAGAAAAGGATGGAGAAAATTACATATGGCCGAACTAGCCGGACATGTGACTTTCCAATTAAATTTTCAGAAGACCATTTATGGCCAATACTAATTTTTGACCGGTTGAATAAAAACGACTGTTCAAAGGACAATTCAATGCATTCGTGTATGTTGACATCACAAATATTGAAATCCAGTATCGTGCACGGCCATACTATTAGTTGTCATTTTGTATAGAAGTACAATTATAATATATGTCAATGTCTTTGATCTTTGATTTGTCTTTTACTCCAAGAAACAACAAGTGAAATTTGATTAATTATAGAAGTGTTCTGTCCAGTTTCTTGTTTGGATTTTACTACTTATAAATCAAAATGGTATATAAGTGATGGCCGAAAATGATGTGGAGTGAAAATATTGGATAAAACTGTTGATTGTGTTTTGAACTTGCAAATGATAGAGTGTCATGTAACATTATATAATTCCTTATATAAATTTTCATATACGTGTAGTAAGATTTTTCTTATTTTGTGATAAATTTAAAACTTGTAGGGTCTTTTCTATTTTACACCTCGAAACTTGAAGAAAACTCCTCCCCTTTTAACCTCAATATCTCATTTGAGATGAGAATCAAAGATTCCCATAAAAGGATGGAAACACTTCTCCTTTCCGAAATGGTAATGAAGATAATGCACTATTATAAAATTTGACCAATAATTTGTGAACTTGTCAAGTGAAAAGCAGTTCTATACTAAAGAACAAAAGATGTCTTTTTTATCTCGTGTAGCTAGCAAGGTCGGTCCAAACACTGGCGGACCCAAGGGTGGGCCGAGGGCACGTGCCCCCAACTTTACTTTTTTTATTTTCTATGTTTTGTTACAATTTTCGAAATTATTATAAGATGTAAAACGAAATTGAAATATTACATTCTTAATACCATTTCAAAATGCTCACAGTCTAGTTTTTTATGTCGTTAACGGAGTGCGAAACGACCAATCGTAGCAAATGTTACGACTTGTCAAAGTAGGCGATTTAAAATTAGTATTTCGAGACATGCTAACTTTAAAAAATTTCCGACGATTTACGGTAGTTGAATCTACAAATCACTTATATCATCCCAAATCCCATTTCGAGCACTAAATTATAGGCATATCGAATAGTTCAAACAGATATCAAAAATAGTTAAAGATGCGTCAAAAGTACGTATTAAAAAGATGCGTTTAACTCGCATTTTTTTAAAAGAAAATTAACTATTTCATTAACATTTATTATTTATGTGATACAAATTTTTCAATGTAATTTGCATTATTTTATTAGGAAATTTATATGGGATATGACATAAATTTTTTTCGAATTACATCCGAAAGTCATATTCCATTGAAATTTGAGAATGCAAAATTACATGAGGTATGATTTTTTCGGATGCAAATTTTCGATTGTAAAATTTCTCCCAACTTTTTTACAAGTTAGATTGTATTCCCTAACTTTAATTGTCTGCGTCCAGCCCCGAGTCCAAAGGCCTTTTAGTGAGTGGGTATATATGTAAAGACTGTTGGTGTACATTTATTATAATATTATAGTAGGAATCTAGATTAAGACATCATATTTTCCTGGTTGGGTCCTACTCGTAGACCCCTAGGCAAAGAATATTAATTTGTTGGTACCTCAAAAAATATTCAACTACATCAAACGTCTGGAAGGCATATTCATCTTCTATGTGGTTGTCACTCCTTGTCCGCACGAGTACTCTTGAGTGCGTTGATGAGTGATATTCTTATTTAGTCAATGAAATTTGCATGATTGAGAGAACTAGCTAGAGAAAGACATGTTTGAATGAACTTATAAGTTGTTTATAATATGAATTGATGAAAAGTACGTATGAAGAGAGTTAGAGAAGATACAAATAACATGCAAAACCAAAAAAATAAAAAAATAGTTGATATTCATTTGGGAATTCACTCAACATCTAATATCACCAAAGTATGTATGTCATCATATAAGGCACTATGATGACTTCAAATCAAATAACCAATTCCACTATCGAACGTTAGAGATTAACCACCAACACTCAAATAGTTATCCATGTGGAATCTTCTTAGCAAGTCTTCAATGTTTTGTTTTATAACAAGACATTCACGTGTTTATTTAAGTGTCACTACACTTTAACTTGTGAGATCAGCTACTTACATCACAAGTAAAAAATGACACACGTGATGGTCTATCCGTAATAACGATATACGTATCTTATTATTACATACGATACAGATGATTTAAGATTCAGTCATATGTAATTTGTATCTTACAATCACAACTTTATGTGATTAACAAATTATCAAGACTTAAATCTACAGATTTTATTATTTAATTTGTTAGAACATTAATTCAATTAAATAAATAATAGATCTTGTCATAAATATGCATCAATTATATATATTAAAAGTGTTTATATCTAAAATTGATTGGACTTATGACATAACACTTACAAAAAGTTGTCGTTGCAATCCTGAAGGCTCGGCTAGTTACTCAGAATTCTCGAGTAATTCATTTTCTTGTTGGGGCACTCGTTTGATCCTCCTAAGTGTTTGGCTTCACAACCAACACGGCCTCATGCCTATGGGTGCAATTGTTTTATCGCTACCAACAACATCAACAAGAGTACTTGTATATACGTAGGAGTGCATTCTAGTCACGTTAAATCACTTCTGCCATCAGATTATTGGAATTGAGACCGCTTGATGCTTCCTTTGTTTATTATGTTATCGTTTGATTCTTCAACTGCTCGACTAATCCACCTTAATACAATCCTATCAAATCCTTATATCCTGCCTAATTAACCTTTAAGACTATACAATCATTCCTTTTTAGCTTTAAACAAGTGCAGCAATCTCAAGTTGCTTAGGGCTGTTCTCTTTGTATTTCAATTTTGTGTTTTGAGTTTTGAATTCATTTTGAATTTGTGTTTTTTTGGCATTTTGGAAAATTGTTTTGAAAACACCCAAAACGCATTTTGAAAATTTTGACTTGATTATAACTGAAAACACTCAAAACGACAAATTTGTCGTTTTGAATTTTCTTTGTAAATTTTTAACTTGTTTTCAAAAACGCGTTTTCGAAAATAGGAAAGAAAGCGCGTTTTCACTATTTTGAAAAATCGAAAACAGAAAACGGCTTGAAAATGGTAAAAAGAACATGCACTTAATAATTGCGCAGTCACCAAACGTCATGCATATTCATTTTGGTGAAATATAAGAGAATCCAATTCCATTATTTTATTTAATCAAGAAACTTTCGGTGTTGATAACAAGCGAACTTAGGAAATTGAAGAAAGTTTCTTTTTTTTATATAATATCAAAAGAAGAATAGAATAGTTCTCAAGATCCTAAATAATTTATCTCATTCAAAACCCTAAAGTGGTTAAAAGAAACTATAAAAAGAAAGTCATATTCAGAACCCTCATTTAATTTGCGATGTAAAATAGGATTCGAG